AGTTCAGAGCAAGGTTTGCAAGGGACTGTTTGTTATAAGTGTTATGGGAGGAAAAATATTTTAAAGTTATGAACAAATCCTTGGCAATGTCCTTTAAAAAATGTTTCTGAGTAGTCAAGCGTGCAAGATAAAGCTGCACAAGTTGACTGAACTGGTACAACCAGCAATTGTGAAATTAATAATCTAAAGGTTTGCTGACCTTGGCAGCATTACAGAAGCAATTTTTACAATGAAGTATTCTTAGATTATTTCTCCCAATACAGTAAGTTTCAAATATCCTTTTACTTCACCTTTGTAAAGAGCTTTGAAATCCCCAGGTAAAAAGTGTTATGTCCAGTTACAAGAATATATTATGAAAATATATGCAACTCTTTGTCCCAGGTATTACTTGAACATACATATTTACTGCTGATAATGCAAAGTCAATCCCATTGCCCTTATTCAAGATAGTTATGCTCTGTTACATCCTCTGGACATCAGCCAGGGCTCTCCAAATTACCATATTTTTTTGAATATAGGCTTCTCTTGCATTTAATATAAAATTAGAGCAGCCATTTCCTAGGAGAGCTGGAAGAAATTAGCAGAAGCCTGACACAAGGATGCTAACTCCCATGCCAAACGAGACCTCCTTTGCTTACAGGGACTGTGCAAGACTCCTTAGTCCAGGTTTGCAGAATTAGGGCTTGAAGTGATTTGGACTAATTACAAGGAAAACAGGAGCTGCCAGCACAGGTGAAAAAAAGCTTCCAATGCATTCAAAATGGCAACATTCACAAATATAGGCTGATCATCATCTGAAGTACAGAGCAAGCCAAAGATCTGGGGGCCAGGAAGTATTTAAGAGCTCCCCCCAAACATCTTCTTATTCTTTGTATAACAAAAAGGGAACCAATATGCAGAAGGACGAAGACAGTGCACATTTTTTCAAGGTAAACATTTGTTTAATATCATTGCTATAAAGGATTTCAAGGCTTCAGGCTGAAAGCCAAACTGTTCTCACAGCTGACCACCCTATGTATCTGTGCATTTCATGCAATGATTCAGCATTTCCACTCTGATGACATCCTTCTTTCAAGTTTTAAGTCACCTCATATACAAAGTGGCTTAAACCTTTTGTATTCCCTACTCTCACTAGGTGTCATCTAAAATTATTGATTAACTAGAGTGGAGACTGGATCCAGTTTACCTCATTTTAACTATTTGTAAGAACTATAACTTATTACAAGAACAAATATCAAATAGATTTATTTAAAAATCTGAAAGCAATTAATCTGTATGTGGTAATTTTTTTTTGTTTTTAACATAGGGAATATTGAGTAGCTAAATTAAATGGTAGCTATTTAATATGGAGAGATACATGTCCTTATTCTAAATTGTTTTTTCCCTGCCGCTACCTTTTCATTCCATTCCACTTCCTCGAGGCAGGTTTGATTTTCTTGCTATTTCCCTAAATTCTGAGAGGTCCCAATCTGAGGCAACAGGCACCAGGTATTTCACAACTGGTTTTAAGGTAACAGCAGTCAGAAAGTGCTGTTTTGAAATAAAACAATCCATGTGTTTTCAAAAACTGCTTCTCTGTACTACAAAGCACCTGAACCCCTACATTCTTTGCAGCACAGATCACCTGAAGGTCAGTCTACTGCTCTACAGCCTGATCTAAGCTTTTAGCAAGGGGATTTCCTCTCCCTCCAGCAATCCAAGGCTGAGTGCAACTGGCAATAATTTTACTTTAAACATTCATATGCATTATTCCCTCAATTTAAGGAAGCCTAGGAATGTGCTTATTTTGGGGAGGTGATGCAGAGATGTCAAGGAAATGTATCTGGCTGATTCAAGGCCAGGTATCAGTAAGCACCATCCTGACTGGAATGTTTAGTATTCTGATGACATGTAGACAACATATATGCTCATTTTTTGAAAGTATATTAAAAATACTCTTTGCTGTCTCCCTACCACACTTGCAAAAGTAGCAATTTTAAATATAAAGCCATCTAGGTTTGGATGCTATGGGTGAAATCCATAATGGCCTTTTGTACCAATAGAATCCACAGAAGTATATGGGGAGCAGGATTTTGGTTTTTATAATAGTGCCCTCATCAGTAACATGATTGTGGCTTTATAATATAAAATATGTGTCTAATAAAATATTAAGAATGCAGTCATCAAAACACTCAAAAAAATGACATCGCGATTCATTAAAGAGATAAGTAAAAACAGCAGCATCTTATACAGCACTTTGTTGACTCGTATTGAAGACTTCCACAATATACTGCACCCACACGTGGCAAACATCCGTACACACATTCCTTCACAGTATAATGTGTGCCTTCAAATGCAGAAGGAAAACTTGCTGGAGTTTTCAAAAATTACCATCTGCTACATGCACCATATTTTGGTATCTCCGTATAGACACTCTAGGCATGTACCATCATTTCAATATTCAGTTCTTTATTAACCTGGCCAGACCATCTGGACACCTTAATGAATCTATTAATGAATATCAATCCTCTAATCAGCACATGAAATCTCATAGGTACTCACCCTGCAAACTGGGCACTGCCAGTGACTACTGCTGTCTCTAAGCCTGAACTCATCAGACAAACACTTGGAATGATACACACGAAAACACAGGTCACATATCAACACCTCTCCAGGCAAATGGCATTCAAAACAATACCAGTCATGATTTTCTGTTTCCCAGTCCTACAAAAAATACAAAATATTTTGGTATGATATTCTGTCAAAATCTGCAGGAACTAAGAACAAAATTGATATGTCTTGAAATCCAGCAGCAATTAGACATTATAAACATTTTTTAAAGTGTATATTGTTTAAAAACAGGGGTAAACCTACATGTTTAAAGATCTCAATCAGTTTAATACACACTAACTCCAATAGAATATGAATGCCAAGTTTTAGTTTTTTCAAGTGTCTGATTAGTAACAATTTCAAATATAAGCTCTGTCCACAATGAAAAGTGGGTTTGTTTTCTACCTTTCTGTGAAACACTTTTTGATCTCTCTGTATTAGACTCCAAATGAAAGTTTATGCACCCCAACAAACCATACCTACTTCTTTGGACTATTTTCCCTGGTTTTGGTTGTTAAAGTGTGTTTTCAACTGTAATTTTCTGAAGAGCAGTCCCTTCCAGGCTGTACTCTCTTAAAACTGACTTTTCAGTATCGAAGTGTTGAGTTACAAGAAATAAATGAAAACATGAAACTTGTATTGCAAGAAATGTTTCTGCTAAGCAAACCCAATACAATTAAAAAAATAGAAAATGTTTCACTTGCAGTGCTCAATAGCACCAGGGTTATTCCTGAAATGTTCTACAGAAGACAAAGGATGTGGTTCTGCTGATGCACAGATGTCTTTAATACACTCTTCCTTGAAAATTCAGCTCCAACAGCCAAATTTTGACCTTTGAAACATGTGCACAAGCTTTGCTGAAGTAAATGAGAGCAGGATGCATATAATTTGGAGGCAGACTTTTGTTCTAGACATCTATAATACTAAAACCAGAAAGAATTGCCAGTGGCCAATGTTAAATGTGTATGTTTGTTATCTAAAATGACACTCTTCCCT